GCCCAGAAGAGAAAGGACTTGTGTAATTGGCTTTGCATGGGCCTGAGAAAGGGGTCTGGCAAGATGCCCAGAAGAGAAAGGACTTGTGTAATTGGTTTTGCATGGGCCTGRAAAAGGGGCCTGGCAAGATGTCCGGAAGAGAAAAGACTTGTGTAATTGGCTTTGCATGGGCTTGAGAAAGGGGCCCGGCAAGATGCCCAGAAGAGAGATGCATATGAAATGGACCAAGTAATGCGCGTGTGAAGATAATTAAGCCGGATGCCAGAAAGGGTGGAAAAGGGGGATGCATGCGAAATCGGCAGGACTAGAAAGGCCGGGCGAAATAGCCGGGGAGGAATGCATGTGAATTTGGCTTGAGGAAAGAGTGACGGAAAGCATGGATTGCACGGGCCGAAAGACCCGAATTAGAAGAGGCATTGAAAGTGACGGAAAACATGGATTGCACGGGCCGAAGGACCCGAATAGAAGAGGCATTGAAAATGACGGAAAACATGGATTGCACGGGCCGAAGGACCCAAATGGAAGAGGCATTGAGAGTGACGGAAAACATGGATTGCACGGGCCGAAGGACCCAAATAGAAGAGGCATTGAAAATGACGAAAAACATGGATTGCACGGGCCAAAGGACCCGAATGGAAGAGGTATTGAGAATGACGGAAAACATGGATTGCACGGGCCGAAGGACCAAAGAGGCATTGAGAATGACGGTAGCCGAAAAAGGAACCTGGCTGGCATGGGATGAGAAAAGGGAAGCCGGAAGGAGGCCCTCGACCCTCCACACCCTCCTCCGCCCCAAGGGGCGGAACTAAAGGAAACCCTGAGAAAGGAACATGAAAAGACAAAAAGGACCTTGGCAAGCTAACTACCTGACTCACCCTACCCCCCCCTTCCGTCTACCCCCTCCAAATTCTCCTACGGACTTTGGACTGGTGCGCGATGAGGACATCACGAATGAGTGGGGGGAATGTGTCGGGACCGGTGGGTCCCGAATGACTTCCCATCATTCAAGAGCTTGTATAGAGCCAATTTGTGCACGACAGAGAAATCGGGAATAAGGAGGAACGGGAGGAGAAAAGAGCAAAGGACTAAGCTGGAAAGAGCAACGACGCCCCGGGTTGGGAACCGCAGGAAAGAGCTAGCAGCGACAGGAAAATAAGCGCGGAGGCTTAGGCGTGGAAGGGCCCAGCCTGAGGACAGACGGGGCACTAGATTTCGATACAACAGAGGCCAAGGGGACCGCCGGCGGGGCTAAGTGTCGGGGACCGCCGACGGGATTAAGTGTCGGGGACCGCCGACGGGGCTAAGTGTCGGGGACTGCCGACGGGACTAATTGTCGGGGACCGCCGACGGGGCTAATTGTAGGGGACCGCAGCGCTTCGACGAAAATCGGCGTGCAGGGACATTCCAGGCTCAGCATCGATAGCTGGGCCAAGTATTGACCTGCTCGTTGAACGCGTACAATTCGACTTTTCCCATTGTACGTTCGTCGATATTGAAGGCCACGAAGTGGGAGAGCCTGGAGGAGTTGATAAGAAACCCGAGAAAAGTCGGCCCGTGGGAGCCTTTAGCTCGTCGAGTTATGAGCGTCTTTGAAAAGAAGGGCCGAAGGCTAAGCCTTACTTCGATAAATCGTGCCACTAGACTTCGTATTCTATCGGCTAGTGCTTTAGGTCCGAGGACTCCAATCAGGAAGTCGTCCGCATAGCGAACATAGTGAATCCTTGCCTTTGCCAGTCCATACCCAGAATGAGATCAAAAGGCAATTCTTCTCTACTAGGAAGGACAATTCATGCATAATCTTTTTTCCTTCCCTAGTTCTAAACTGACACTTAATACGACCAACATACTGTGAGACAGTGATCGTTCTATTGTCCGCTAACATAGACGTGATAGGTCAAGACAATTCTTTCACCTTCATTCCGAGATGCAACTTGCGGATTGCTTATTCAGAGATATAGGACCTCGTCGATCCGGGGTCCAACAACGAACCTACTCGTGTTCGTGCGATTTCTACATCAGCAAATAACAATTCACCCTAAGACTTTGCTTTTCGAGCCCATGAGCTACGTAAGGCTACCAATTCATTACCTAGCTCATCAAGGGAGTCATCCAGAGAGACAATGTCAGGGCGGTCTGGATGATGGGCTAAGGAAGAATCATCCTCTGCCATATGAGAAGAAGGGTAGGAAGGGTTTGTTGGCGCCTCACCTTTCTGTTCATCCTTACCCTTTATCTCAGTAGGAGCAGATGCTACTCCTACTGGCTGCTTGCTTTTGGGTTTCTGATCAAAGGACAATATGCAATCACATGACCTGTTGTGCCGCATTTTAAGACATTGCGCATTGTCCATGCGCTCCTGCCAAGTC